GGCATATACCAGATATTATACTGCAATAGCATAAGATAACATGGGATGAATTAGAATATCAAGATGTAGAGGGATCCCTATTAAATATTTTTCTTCAACAAGATAATAAGAATGTTACTAAAAAGATAGGAAACCTTTATTAAGATTATGGTTAAAATTTGGAATGGATAAAGGATCTTACATTAAGTAATTAGAGTTGTCCCTGGTGGAGGTAACACTGATGTTGATGTGCTCTTTGATCAATGATGTTTAGTCATAACTGTTATTGTGTTAATTGTATTGCTTTTCTTAGTTGTAAAAATACATAAAAAGTGTGTGTGGGGGGGAAGGAAGGAAGGAAAAAAAAAACACCAGGAACCAAAGAACCAGACCACTAATGTTCCACATACCCAGGTAGGCTTTGAAGCATCTCATGGGAAATTGAAATTTTAACCAATCTGCTCAAGCTTTACAGGTGGACTGCCTTCCTTGAGGGATAGGCTTTCTCCCACATCAATAAAGTATCTATGTGTGTAGGCGGCAGAGATAGAAACGTTCCTTGAAGAAGCACTCAGCTCTTTTCTAAGCTGCTATGTAGGCTGAACCTTAGATATTGACCCTGGGATAGAGAACCTGGGGGTAATCGAAGTAATGATTTAAAATGCCTTCAGACAGACCTTGCACAGTACAAAAGGACGTGGGCACCAACTTTCCCAAACTTGCCTGCAGAGGCAGAAACCCCATAATGAGCATGGAGCGTCTGCCTTACATGCAGCAGGGTCCAGGTTGGCAGATCCCTGGCTGGCATCTCCAGGCAGGTGAACAATGCAATAGTCCATCCCTGTATAATTGAGGCACACACACAAGCACAGACAAGTCTAAAAGGAAGCATTTGGTCCACGAGTCCAAGTTCAGCAAAAACACTCTTGGTCGTAGCCACCTCCTGGGAAGGCAGCAGGAGCCCCAGACTGACAACTCACTCTTCCGGGGGAGCGGGCGTCACCATTCGCAACAGGCTGCATTGTTCTTGCTGGACTGGCTGCCCTAGAGAACCTGCCTTCTTTGGATTAGTCTTCAATCTGTCCAGTCTATTACCAATTACAATTGTACAGATCCTCCACAGTCTGCCCAGACTGAGTGGAGAAACCATCGCTATGTTGATGACAGTTATCTAACGCCAAATCCCCAATTGTCTGTAGGACTTTCAGGTAGATTTTACACAAGAGGCCAAGATGCAATCCCGTGGGACAAGCATAACAACCCAGTTGTGGCAGTTAATACCAAGTTCATGCAGTCTCATTCCTAGAACCCATAGCTGCATGTCATGTCTGAACCAGGCCTCAGTGTGTTTAGTAGAGTCGTGCTCGACAGATCAGTTCTGCAGTACAGCTTTTCCTTCCAAAGCCCAACTTACTTGGCTTCCAGGCGCTTGCTTTAAACTCTTTTCAGCTTTATCCACAAAGTCTTTCTCTTCAAAGTACAAGTAGCTTTTGAACTTGATCAAAGCCTAAGAAGGTAAACAGTGAAGCGTGAAGCTCTACTAAAATAGTAAGAGGAAGCTCAATGCTGGTTATTGAGAAAAATGCCAAAGTGCATGCATTCAAGGGTCAAATTCAGACACTTTAAATGGGTGGGGGCGGGGGGCTTCCTTGCTGTTTCTGACAGTCATGGAACCCAAAGTCTGACCTAGTAGCATATGGTCACTATAGTGGGAATCTGTTTTCAAAGAAATGCGACTTCCTCCATTGGACAAGTTATCCACTGGACAACTTCTCCCATTCAGCCTCCCTGCTACAAAGCAAGAAGAGAGTCCAAATTTACAACAAAAGAGTACCATTGCTTAATAAGAGCTTTTAGAGCAACTTACTATATTTATATACCGCTGTTCAATATATTTCTGAAACTGCTCACACAGTGATTAAGGTCACAGTCGTCTTCATAAGATACTGAAGGATGAGAGATGCATCACCTAGGAGGAGCTCCCTTTACCTTGTCTTTGTAAGTGTCTGGCAGAGATTTGGCAGTTTCAGTATCTTCTGGAAGGCTTATATAAAAACCAAGCACGTCTCCTTGGCCATAGCTTGATGAATAATGTTTACCGATGGACTGATGGAATTTCGTGCCTTTCTTGCTTCGCCAAGAATAACTAAATTTGTCATAGCCCAGGGGAGCCTGAAGGTTCCCTGCAGAAACACAGATATAATTGAATTCAGATATAACTTGAAATTCCATCTGTCTGTAAACACCTGGTTCACACACCATGACAACCCATCATAGGTAACTTGTCACAGCGGGTTGTTATATCCACCAAACCCAGACTGCCTGATGACTTCTCTTTTGGCCACAAACCATCCTGGCAACCCCGTACTGAACAATATATTTATATATTGCTGTCTGACACTAACGCAACAACAACACACAGTGTTGCTAAATTCATCGCGGCCGCGATGGGTGTCCAAAGACAGATTCTGGGGGACTGTGGCTCTACGTAGTTGGACAAGGACAAAGTCTGGGACTGCCCCCGACTTAAGATGCCTGATATTGTGTTGAAGTATTTATCAATCCGAGTGGGGTTTTAATATGTTTTATGTATCTACTTTTTAAACACATGTATTTATTGAATGGAGCTGGTCTTTGACCACAATAAAGTTTATCTACATCTACTCTGGCAACCCAAGGCTTGTCCTAGGAGTCGTGCGACCCACTGCTGAAACACAGAAGAGTGGTTTTGTCCCTGCCATTTTTCAAGTTCTCGTCCTTGCCGCTTGGCACTGACAGTGCTCCACCCGTGCCCAAGAGATGCTTTGGAATAACCATCACTGGTTCACTCTACTCTTACTTTTTCAGACCAAGAAGATGGAGCAATTGTGTTCATTTGTTATTGTTTCTGTCAGCTTTTGACATGCCGCCCTTTTGGGCTGCCGGGTATGACAAGTTTTGTCTAGTCAGTTGCCCTGTGTCTGCTTCAGCTTTCAAAGGAAGCAGCAAAGTGCGTAGGAAACAAATTGAGAAGGAAAGACCTCACTGTGGGCAAATGTGTGTACCACCCCCCGCCCCAGCTGTCAACCGAACAATCCTGGAGATGGTAAGAGAGCAGTAAAACAATGTGCACACAAAGTGAGTGTAGATACAAGATTTCCATCCATCCATGAGATTCTCTTGGCTTTAAGTGCTGAACTGGCCGTTTCCAGTGTCTTTCACCTTTTCAACACATCCCTGACTCTCCAGCCACTCCAGAAAGGAGAGATCTCCACACTCCCTCCAAGAATTCCATGTCAGAGTTCTTAAAAGCCTCATCCATATAAAGAGCTGCAGAAATGTAAAAGAAAAATGCCTACAGGAGAACTGTCCAAACTGGAATTTTCTATCCAAACCAATAATTTTGGGGTACAGCTACAGAATTAACCGATTTTTGCAACAGAAACCTTTACCCAGTGGTGTTGCTAATAGTGTCATAACAACTGGCTGACTGGTTGAATGCTGCCTTAAATAAAAATAGGCCATGCTCTCCTCCAACTGCCACTGGCTTAGTTATTTCAAGGTGACAACCCTGAGCCACAGAGAGATGAGGAATGAGCTCTGAAGGATAAGATAAGGGCTGTGGAAGCCTTCACAGCTGTGCTGTTCCGTCAGTGAGGTCTACAGGCACACAAAGCTGAAAAGGTCTAGAAGGTATCTGGGTGGCAGGCAATCTGGAAACCCCAAGTATCCCACTTAAGTACAGAAAGATGAAGTACCACTTCCCTCTTCTCCCAGCTTACCTAGTGGCTGAGACCACCCAAGCCTGGCAGCTGTTTCTGCAGGCATCTCATCCACTGAGATCTCAAAGTACCAGGCTCCCTTCCGCACACCATGTGAGGCTCGAACCATGGAGTAGCCTTTCTCTCCTATAACTGTCAGCCTGTCGTCCGAGATCTTTAGTTGAGGGGCTACAGGTTTTGGAGAAGAAAGGGAAAGAATGGTAAGCCTTGGGCATTCTAAGATGGTCAGAGAGGTGAAGCAAGCGCCCTAAAAGGGGTTTTTAAAGGGTTTTAAAAAGTTACCTCTCTTCTCTTTGCTGCCTTGCACTAGACCCATTCAATCTGGGAAAAGGTATTCTTGACTGGTACGGGCTCTCTGCAAGCCCTTGGCGAAGGACTTTTCTAGTCAAGCGTAACCAGAAATGGCAGAGACTGAACGTGGGGTGTCCGAAGTGCAGGGCTTAAGCATCCATGCCCAGTGCCCCTGGGCCAGGCAGTCTCAGCAGCTATTTTGACATCAAGGTCAGGGGGTCTGGCTGAACCACAAAGTGGCAGCCATTACCAATCTGTTATAAACCTTAAGGACTTGTCTGTGTGTCATCCTGGCGGGCCCTGACAGGCATGCTGCCGGTGCTGGACGATCTGCACTCGTGCCACGTTTTGAACTGTAGCATGTTCTAGTCTATTCAAATCCCAAGAAATAAGGGTTGTTACAATACTGTCAAGGGAGAGGGTATCACGAAACAGCCCAGAAAATCTAGGGTTCTGTAGAAAGCGCCCTTCTCCAGGTTGCAGGAAACCTCCACTAAAGAAAGGAACACAGAACCTGTTTCGGCTTTCTCCACCACTCCTGTAGCCTTGATCCAAAGAACCCCTCCGCCAGGTTTCTGAATTTCCATACCTCGGTCGTGCAAAGCCAGGAGGACCCGCTCATACAGGCAGGCCCGGTAGAGATCTCCCGGAATAGGCTTGCCCGCCCAGCAGTCCAGCTCCAGTTTCTCAGGGTCAGGCGCATGGGGGTCAGGCTCAGCCAAAATGTAACGGTATCCATCCTTATTAAAGGGGTGTTCCAATGGGTAGCCGTGTGGTGGGAGACGCTGAGCAGAGAACAAAGGATCACTGGGAAATGGAGAAAGAGGTGTTAATCTTCAATGAAGGCACACGTTTCACAGACTAGCAGGCTAAAAAACTAGAGTGGGGGGAATGGAGGGAGTAAATTTTGATTAGTCAACCGCTACTTGTTCTCCAACCTTGGCTGCCACAAGTCTTCATTATGCAAAAGGCCCCAAAGGTGTTCTAGATCAGGTATGTGTTCAGGAGTGGTGGAAGCACACAAAACTTAGGGAGTAAAAAACGGCAGGCTCCAGAAAAGAAAGGCATGAAATAGAATGCACAGGACAAAGAACTCCATACACTGATTCCCTGAAACTTGCCCTTCTCCCAGATGGGTCCCATGCCAACTTTCATCTTTCCCCAGGCAGTGTGATCTTCGTAGTCCAATACCTTTGGGGGACTTTAAGCCTAGGGAAGGCTGCCACATATTATGCAAGAAATAGAAGAAGAAAGGGCAGCCATCAATTCAATTAATGATGAATAATGGTTAATGATGATTAAGTTGAGAGCAAGCACCATTTTTCTTGTGCCCTCAACTTCATATGCAGGAGGGCCATTACCAGTTAGCAATTAAGACTATGAACATGCTTACTGATAGAGCCCAGATACCATCACATCACTTAACTGAGACTGGAATCCTGTATTGTTCGGGTGCAGAACCATCTGGATGTAGGGGGGTTGTACCCCCACAAGCCAGGAGAAGTCAGAGGGCGTGGCCCTGCTCTTTGGTATCGTCACTTCCACCCATTTTCCCTTTCTCTGTACCTCTCAGCAGTTATGAAATATAATGAATATATCATAGCAGCTGCTAGCTTCAGACACCCAGAAGGAGGGACCCATTAAGTTTTGTTTTCATTCGAAGGTGGTGGTGCTCCAATTTGTACTTGTTCTCGGCCTCCCTACCCACTGGTCAATGAGATTTTTCCTTTGCAATTTTAACTGAAAGATCACACCAATGGTTGATCTTGTTGTTTTAGTTGTGGTGCTGGGGGCCAGCTGAGAAAGGACAGAGCTTCAGGTCCCTCATCTCACTCATCTTGATCCATTTTCAACCATTCTGTTTCACGTCAAGACAATCTATTTGATTTACCTCCTGGTTTTCTTGGCTGTTCCTGTAGTCCCTCCATCTTGCTGCTTGCGCTTTGCTCCTCTTCCTTTCCCACTAGTTCCTGCTACGATACCCCCTTGGGAAGGGAAACACCACAAATCTGTGTGTCGTTTGACTACGTGACATTGAGTGGGAGTCAGTTCAAATCCACTGGATGCATTTGAATCTCAACAAAGCCAGACATTTTTCAGACAAAACATACTTTCACTGTTTTTAAAAAATTGACATTTTGCTCACATTTTGGCCTGTACTAACCCAAGTGTCAAAGTAGCATATTGACCAAGACAGAAGAATTCTACCTGAACACTAGCCACATAGGAATTAAAAAGCAAAACACTGTCTTCTCTTTCAAGGAAATTTGAAGCACATGAAGACAAAAGTAGGTCTTGATTGAACGGAGAAGAGAAGAATAAATAAGCTTTAGTCAGACTTCCACACAGTTCAACACCACACAAAAATAGTGCTCAAATTATGGGAGAAAAGGTCAGGAACCCTTAATGAAATTCACAAGCCCCAGATGTCTATACCTTCCAATTTTAGACAAATTGTGTCCTTGGCTGTAACTTAAAAGCAGTAGCTAAGGGGACAGTCTCAAATGGTAAGGGTCCAGGCTCCCTTAAGACCCCTGTAATTTGAGCATTCTGCAAGAAGGTTAAGGTACACTCGACACACAATCTTTGGCCCAGCTGTAAGCATCCATCATTCAGAGACAACGCAAAGGGAAACCAATGAGCAAGATGTTTCTCTGCAGTGCTAGCAAATGAATAATGTAGGTGATATCAAGAGTGTGATGGTTCTTGTCTCTGATTCTGAATAACAGAATCTCTCTGTTATTTCCATATCTTTTGTTTAATCCATCTGTCCTCTGGACATGTGTACATGTTATGTATGCCAGAAGGAAAACAGCATCTGCACTGCTGCCAAGAAATCTGGAGCAACACTGAAAATGAGGGAAAGAAGGGCTCAGGGCAGCTATGCCTGGGACAGATTATAAACAGCTGCACGCACGCCTTGGTAACAAAATCATGAACAAAAGATTAAACAAAAGGCTATCTAAGGAAACATGCTAAAAACACTTCAGTGTTGATTATACACCCTTTAACATGGTTTGGAAGATTTGTATTATATAAGAGCATTACCCTTTTTCCTCCACATGACAAAATCGAGTCTGTGGGTACCTGCAGCAACTGTTTCCAAGAATTACAAATATACAAAACTGCTGTGACTGAAGCAGCTCCAAAAAGTCAGAGCTGTGCACTTGGTATCAGTGCAGGGAAGAAATGCAGTGCGACTGCGTGTATGAACAACTTTCCTTAATTTACTCTCAAGGTGGTGAGAAATGAAAAACTGATTTTTTTTTTTCTGGACTGACCGATTTCGATGGAAAGGGATGTGTATAAACTAAGAACATGCATGGCAGATCTCTTCAATCGCTTGGCCCCTTGCTTCTGATCAACCCAGTGTCAAGATAGCTTGTCATACTGCAGACAACCACCTTCAGACAATAGCATAGGGTACCATCATAGCAACAGGAGAAAGCAGCTTTGAAATCAACATCTCTCTAGCAGTACGAGACCTTTGAAGACAGGTATCATATTCTGCACAGCCATCAATCAACTTGAATGACAGCACCTGTTCCAAAATAATTTTAATTGGGTTTGAAGCCAAAACTGAGGATTCCCCCTTTGTAACTCTCCCATGCTCCTTCTTAGTGCAAATTTCAGCAACCAACTCTTACCAACATGTCCCATGTATGATCGGGTGCCGATAAACTTTCTACAAGCATGAAAATGGCTCAGGTTTTGTTTCCTTTGCAAAAGCTTCCCGGACTCTTAATTATCAGAAGGCTTCTTCTGACCCTTAATGATTCCAGGCTTCTTCTAAAGGGCTCTGAATTTTATTGAATTTTATCTTCAAAACAAAGCTCTGAAAACAGCTAGGCGAGTGACTCGCCACCTGATGATCTTCAAATTAAAGTAGTCACTGCAATATATGATTTCTATTGCTAAAAATCAACATCACAGCTTTTGCAGATGGCTTCATTTAAGTAAAAAATCTCAAATAACTATAGGTGTAAAGCTGGTTGAAAGAATCCGGTGTTTCAGTGTTAACTGACCGTACAGCCAAATAAACTGTTATATTCAAAACAAATTTTAGGAGCATGTTTTCCAGGAATTTATCATTGTTTTACATTTATCAGGGTATGAATGAGCATCTCTTTTCCTGCAATAACCCAATGAGAAATGTTGCCGCTATCCCCATTTTACAGATGATGGGCTGAAGCTAAAGAACCAGAACTATGGCTCCAAGCCTTCCCACAGAATTCAACTATGGGAAAATTCAAGTGACCAATGAAAGGCAGAATATGACTTTTAAGTGCTTGTAGCAGTTTTTGGTTAATGTTCCATTTTAGGTGCTACTCTGAATGTGCTTTGGATTAATTATTTTTAGCTTCTAAGACAATTTGGCAAAAGAAACACAGGGTGGGGGGAGAAAAGAAAAAGGCTTTTCAAACATCAATACTTAAGTTTTAAGAAGCTGAAAAGTAAATATTCACCTCCCAAAGAGGCTCCACCTGTAAGAACAGAAGTTGCACCATGTAGTTGTCGCATTTTAATGACAGAAAGGAAAACACTGTAGCATGAAATGGAGATAAACCCGTAAGAACTTTCTATGTAAGGGCGGAAATGCTATTACTCTGAAACCCTTCTTTACTAGCCTCTTAAGTCACCCAGTAAAAATACTGCCTAGTGTCAAGAGAGCTGGTAGTAAAGGGATACACTTCTGCATCCATGTCTGCTTGATTTCTATAAGGAAAGGGCTTCCCTTGCTCTATGGTTAACACAGAAACTCAGCAAACTGGGAGGCGAGTGCCATCCCACTTGGAAGGAAGCACTTCATTTCCTCCCATGTATGTATGAAAACTTGGGTTGGCAGAGGAGGGAAAGAAACAAAGCATCCATCCTCTGCCACCTGTTTACCCACCTGCATGGGATTCCTTGTCGTCTGCAAGGAATTCCTGGTTACCTGTGGCAACCAGGATAGAAATGCAATACAGGAAAAAGACACCAAACTATACTGAAGCTCTTAATCAAAATCTCCATAACTTGATGTTCTGTAAAGTTCTCTTGCACAAAACACACTGAAATCTATGGAGATGTGCAAGAACACAGCCCTGTTCACCATTTAAAAAAACAGAAATAATTTCCTTTGATACATTTCTAGACTTGTGTATTTGCATTTTCTTGGAAATACAACCCAATACAATGAAACTTGAAGGATTCCCACTGCCAGCACTAACTGTGTTGCTCCAACACGAATGACATGGCATGCCAGCAAAACTGACTGTTATGCTAGCGAACACTAGTTATCCCGCACACTGGAAAAAATCAGTGTGGCAGCAACAAATTGCTCCCTTTTTGACACTGTGCTACTGAATTTCAGCAGCAAACCATCATAAACCCAACTGAACTAGCAAGAGCTAATTATGTTGTGCAAGCACTCATTTAAACAAATTTTCCTTACATTAACATTGATTTCTATTAATTTCAATATGATTTTTAAAAATTGTCCTCCTTTTAAAACAAACACCACAGAAAGAAGTCACAATGGGTGTAATTTCTGACAGTTCTTAGATATGCCAAGATTAACTCAATGTAGGTTGCAATCCTATGGATGCTTTCCTGGGAGTAAATATTCCTCCTGAATACAGCAGGAAGTTCAAGTAAATATGCACAGGACTGCACTGCAAAGGTATTATAACTTGAGCTATAAAGAAGAGAATGCACAACAGTGGGGCATGGAGAAAGAAACACTGAAAGAAACAACTTGCCATTTAAGCTTCCAGTGGTAGATACCATATTGCTCTGTTTCTGATTATCATATGCAGGGCCAATATTACTAAGGTCCTAAAAAAGAAGAACACACAACATTAAACATTTGTACTTTTTAGGTGTCTTTAGGCTGCCTGCATCTACTCTGATTGCTCAAGATGTGAGCATTTTCATTGGTTTACTTAAAAGTAAGTCCTATGGCAGTGATGGCAAACCTTTTAGCGACCGAGTGCCCAAGCGGCAACCCAAAAACCACTTATTTATCGCAAAGCGCCAACACTACAATAAAACCTGAAAACTGAGGTTTTAGTTTAGAAAAAACTACTCACAGCCAGTCCAAGCAAATCTCTCTCTCTCTCTCTCTCTCCTTGGCAGTGCACTGACCAGCCATGTGAAAGCATGGACGAGTCGTGGCTAATGAATCGCGGAACACGGAGTCATCGCCTGGTGCCGCTACTCCTTTCCGAGCATGCACATGGCCCCTATGTGCACTGTTATCTGATGCTTGGCTGCTGGGGCGATGCTGACATGACCTGGCTCGCGTGCCGACAGAGAGGGCTCTGCGTGCCTGCTGTGGGACGCATGCCATAGCTTCACCACCACTGTCACTATCCAATGGCACTCATTCCCGGGTAAATATATTCAGTACTGCAGTCCTAATTCAGAAAAAAGCCTGCAGAATATAATAAAGGTTGATAATTTCTGAGAGAGGTCCCCGATGCCCCAGTAGTAGAAACTCAGCTAACAGATTAAGTAACCAGACTGGAAACTTTTTTGAAAAAGTCACACGGTGGCTTTCCAAACAATCAAGTCATCGCAAGAGAAAATACCATTACCCTGGGACTGCAGAGCTGAAAGAAGGCACACTCTGGGACTGGACAGGAAAATTAGAACCACTGGGAAGATGTATCTGTTGCCTCCAAGAAAGAACATAGACCGTGTCCATAAACTAGCAAAGGTGCATCTGCTCTAATGCTTGCTCTCTGCTTCCCTCATTTCTCTTTCTTTTTGTATCACTGGAGGCAGGAAGCCTTGCACTCCAATATCAGCACTACCGTTAGAATATCTTAGGTTCTGCAATAACCAGACCATCCAGGAGGAATACTTCTGGTGATACAACAAACCTGGTCTAAGAGTCCAAATTTGGGGTAATCTTCTTCTGGGTCTTTGCTTCCTGGGTCTGGATGCTCTTTCACCAAGAAGACATCTCTTTCTTTACACTAGAGTGGAATATTCAGACAAGAAAAAGAACTGGTAGCATCATAAGAGAATACTTTGGGCATGTGCGGTCATGCTTTTGCCAAGACGTTTAACAGCCATGCTAACTGAGATCCTGCTACAGAATAACAGAAGCTTTTATACCAGAAGAGAGTAACCAAGCAAAGAAGCCTGAACAAATATATCTGTGCACTGATTTAACTGGGATATTCCCACACCACTTTCCCTCTACATTTCAGCTTGTTAACAAAGTCTATTAATAAAAATACAATGGTATTTCATTATGTTCCACTTTCACGACTTACCATTGTTTTAACAATATTATTTGGCCAAGTCATCTTGCCCGGCCTTTGCCTTGTTGTCATATACTCCCAGTACTTATCAATAAAGGGTATAATATCCTGCATGAAATAAAGAATAATTATGAATTATTTTACTAACAAAATGTTTTAGATGCATGTGGTAATCATTCACATATGAATTCTATTTCCAGCATTTTAACTGTTAAGAGAGAAAGGGACCAGCAGCCATGGGCTGCATTCACCAAGGCAAACTGCCATGAAAGTTTACTGTGGGTGTCCTCCCTTGTGGATTCTAAGTATAATCTGTGTTTTCCTACGTAAGCAACATGCTACTGATCAAGGTACAGTTAAGGGCCAAGGCTTTTGACAATTTCCATGAAATCAGTTCGTGGAGATAATTTGAGAGTTTCTGCAGAGAGTGAGAGAGAGCGAGAGCGAGAGCGAGCGCAAGCAAGCAAGCAAGCGTGTGCACATATTTTATCTGATGACCTGTCACTTGCAATATGAAATGGCACAGTCCAACAAGGGCTTTATCTTGGTGGCAGCTCGGCTGAAATGTACAGAGCGTATTTTCGCTGCCTCAAGGTGGAAAGCCATTCCAACTATGCTGAAAACAGGAGTACTGAACTGAAGGGCTGGGGACCAGATCCAGCCACCAGTGCCTCCCGGGCAGACTTCTG